TTCCATAGTTTGCAAATCGGCTCTTTCAATGATTGCTCAAGAAATGCAGCACAGTTCAGTTTAAATTTTAGTATATCAAATTGTCCAGGCTTTCTCCCTTTTTCCATTGTAATATTGAAACGCCAACCCAAATTCAAATAGCGAATATTTAATTTCAACCAAGTCAGTAAAGTAGCACACGTTTCCTGAAATTGCAACAAAAATATTAACAGCAATTAGCCTAAATTATCCAGCTGATCATAATGTAAAGAAATATCTTCTTTATAAGGATAACGTGGCAACTTTAAAAGCGACTGGGACAGAGCCCAAGTGATTTTTTTTTAAACTAAGGTCAGTTTGTAAATCTGCACACCTAGACGAACTTTTTGGTGTATAAATATGTGGGGTTAAATCTTGAAACAAAAAAGCCTCATTGTTCACAAAGTTTCAAGTAGCGTATTAATGGTATTGATTTTCCGTGGTTGAGTAAAATGCCATGAGCAGCAAGAGTAAGTTTCGAAAACCGTAGAAGAAAAAGAAAACGCTGAAAAAACACAAGGGGTTGTTCAACTTTAATCAACGTTTGCATTGGACGAGGTGGTGAAAAATTGTCATATCTTCTCTGTGTTTTCTTCCCGTGGCGAGGACCGGCTGAACAAGAAGTATTTCAATAATACTTGTTAGGGTTAAGTTTGCTCTCTTTTTTATATCAAGACATAGGCCTACTGTTTCAGACTTTGTTTAAACTATTTGACAATAGTATTTAAAAAATCATTTTTTATATATTTAGAATATAGCAGAAGAAAACAATTCAAATATCTATAACTTCGCAAACATCATTCCTCTAAACCCAATATTGTATGTTTCGACGTCACGTGATCCGTATTCGATGATTCATCACTGACAACACAAACATTGTTAGTTTCAAAGTCAGACACTATGATAGAGTGTGTTTACCTTCTCTTGACAATGGCCTGATTGAGTTTAACAAACACACTGTGTCTCAAAAATGTCGTGAAACGTATCCTTCAAAAGTTTATATTTTCAAGCATTGAACACCTTTTTTATTGACCTTTAGGTTTACACAGTAAATTACTAAATCGCTTGTAGTAACGAAATGAACTGGAGATCAACAATCCTTACAGTAGTTAGAAAAAGATTTCGTGACGACTCTATGGAAAGACGTTAAGCAAACAAGTTATACCTTCTTATTTTTTTAGCGTTTTTTTGTATCTGCAACCGATGGTAGAAATCTGTTATCTTCCGAAAATAGAATCCTACATTTTTGAAAGTGAGGAATATGATTCCATTCGGTCAGTCAAACAACTGAACTTATTTTTATTCGTGTTTCTCCATTAAAATAATGCTTTGAGTTTTTTTTTTCGTAAGAGAGAGTTCCAAACCATAGTGCTGTTACCACGGAACGTCAAATCTTTCTTGGATAGGATTATTGATCGATAGCTCAATGACAAATGGAATTTGGGTCTAAAATGATCTCGCTTGGAATCGAACCGGCAACTTTCAGATTGATAGGTAAGCACTATTAACACTTGGCTTACTAGACGAAAAAAGGTTAATTGACATCGTAGGGTCAAGACTTAGACAGTGAGTCTTAACCAAAAGTATCATATGAATACCAATAAAATATTTAACATATTGTAAACAACGGTCCTTACTAAATAGATTCGTCCGTCTTTACAACCAGGAAAACTGTTTGGTGAATTGATGATAAGACTGAGTTTGTTTTCAAAACTATTTTATTGGAACCATCTAAATACTTAACTTTTTTAATTAAGTATAGTATAGTACGTTAGTATAAGTATAATTAACGTACTTAAGGTAGTACTTAGCCAACACAAGAAAGTGCGTTAAAGAACATTAAGATTTTTTTTTATAGGTGGTAGGTAACTACAGACAAAGTTCTCGGAAAGAGAGTCCTATAACGCTAATAAGGTCACTATATCGAGAGTTTAAATGAACAATTTTATGAAATAATTATACAAAAAAAAATAATTCTTTCATATTTACAAATCCCACAAATAATATGAAAAAAGTGCACGTAACCAATTTTCATGTATAAAAATAAAAATATTACTTGTATAAGCTTTTAAATATAATTGTAAATGTTTTGATTACCCCAAAAATTACCTATTGGCATTTTATATAACAAATTTGTTTGACTCTGAGTAACTACGAACTAAGTTTGATTCCCACAAACCAAGGTTCAACTGCATTGATCTTCAAGTAAATACCACATCCCAAACAACCTACCTAATGATATTCAAACAGTTTGTCATTGTTTGTGTTTAGTTAGGTACTACAAACTTTGATATCACCATTGAGCGCACACAGCATTATCCTTATCCTTGATCATGAAGATATCAAGTATTTTATATATCATATCTTTTGATATATTCAGATGTAAATTTAATACATAATGTAGCATTAAACGGTCTATATAGAAAACACTACTCAGCAAGGCAGTAAAGAAAACCCAAGAACTACATTTAAGAAATAATGATGAAATCATTGGTTTTTTTTTGTTATTTTGAGTTTTTTTTAAGGGTTTCCTTTTCTGTCACTTTTTTTAAATTCATGAAATAGCCAATAACTTCATTTTTAGAACAGGCGTGCAAATGGCTTATCAAATGAGATGGCTTATATGGCCATTATCAATCAATATAAGGAACGATATAATTATTTGACTTAACGATCTTACAAATAAGTGCTTACACAAGAGTTAGAGGCGTATTCTACTATAGTTTCTACTATAGTGTGTAAAAAAGTCATATTTCCTTTACAACAGATATACATGTTTTTGAGAACTTGACTGTTTTAGTAGCTTAGTGTTTATAGTTCTCGCCTTTAAACTTAAAATTCGCTGTTTTTATTCAAATTGAGATAGTTTCTGAACCTAGATATTATCTGCCATTGGAATATCAACCAATGATCTATCAGAATATCGAAGTTACAAGACCAAAAATGTTTTGGATTGTTTCTTTACAAAAACTTTGAACAGTGCCAATGACGTAGAAACAAAAAAATAATACAATCAGATTCTAAGTTTTAATACTTAAAAGCAAACCGATCAACATAAATATATCAAATAATTCCCCTAAAACAACATACAACTTTTAAACACATCCCTTATAATAACAATTGTGATGAAAATATTGAGACTAATTAATTTACGTCATATACTCGTGTCTCCACACTTTAAGTTGAACCATAATTCCTCAACCCCTTAATAACAATAACCATCCGAGATGAGGACTTTTGTGACCTAAATACACAGGCTGATTGCTTACTTAGGGCTAAAGTCCACCTTCAAGAGGTGGTTTAGCCGCACTGTAGTCACTAATGTCAATAAACCTAAAGTTCTCTCCAAATTTACCGATGTGGATGTTACGACTGAGAGGTTAAGAAGAAAGGATGTTTACTTTAACCATCAAACATCTTTGTATTTTGTCCAAATTTATATGATACTCATTCGTATTACTGTTAATTTGAGGTCCGAAATATTGTGTGGTAACCGAATCGTATTAATATACAGAACGATTAAACAGTTAGTAGTTAGCATTACAAACAACTCAACGTAGGCTGACTTATTGGTATAGGAGGAATGAAAAACTATCCTTGTTAAACAAAAAAGCAATTCATAAAATACATAATAACTATTCATATTATTCGTGTACTTGGAGAATATATTAAAAATATTCAAATTAACAGGAAACAGGTTATTCAAACAAAAGAGATGATAATTAGATTTTTAAGAAGCTTTAGAACTCCCGATCATTTGTAATACGAAATGAAGAGTAATGATAGATTGTTGGGTATAAGCATGCGTTATTTTCTTTTATAACTTAGAAATTCCTTTTTTTGTTATAAGACAATAAGCTTAATGTTAGTAACTATATATCTTATCGTGGTAACTGCAAACTTAAACAGTTCCGGCTAAGGGTTTAGATAGACTTTGGTCCTAAGCCAACTGAAGCACTTAACTGCAAATGAACTTGCCGTTTGTTCGAGTACCACAAACCCTGTAGAATGTTATACGTGGGAATGACGACAACAAAAATTATAATTTATTTAAAACAAAATAGATTTAATTTAGTTGGTTTTAAGTGTTGAATAAGATCAATTACATTTATTTAAATGGGATCAAATCTGAAAATGTCGAGGGAATATTTTAGATGTAATCCAACCACGTATTTATAAATGAACTTTGTTTGCACGTTTGCTGCTGCAGGGTATGAAGTTAATATTTCTGTACAAAATTAGCATTAGCAGGAAAATATTTCTATCTCGTTTCAATCCCAATAATAACCTAGTCATAGTGATAAAACCTACTTCATTGTAATATTTTTAAATTTTGGAGCAAGCATTCATGTGCAGTTTGGTAACAGATATTTCTCTTTTGTACCAATAAAACAACTTAGGAACCCTTCTTATACGCATGGTTTAGTAGGAAGAGGAAACATACTTACGTTTCATTTCAGTCTCCACCACAGACTAAGTTTATTCATTTTTTTTCTTTGTCTTTATAGATTGGCTAGGGACTAGTGAGCTATGTTTCTGGTCAGTTCGTTAAGAGAAAATCAGAATTTTAGTATAGCGATCTATCCATAGACTATTATAAGTCGTCTGTTTTTTCCTTGTTCTAAAGTGCAGATTTGACTCTTTAAAACTAATACTAATGTTTTGAAAATTTCATTTGATCTTAGAAGACTCATTGGCATCCAGAAAAAATATACGTTCAACCAGCCAAGTCCTCAGGCCTATAATTATCATGAAAAGTATACTTGATTCTCCATTGTTTCCAATCCTCATAAAATTCATACAATCAACCTTATTTCCTCAGTTTGAATAGAAAAATAAATCACCTTTAACATATTTCCATAAACTAAATTGCTTTCAACAATATGATTTGAAAACTAGTATGTTGTATTTATTTTAATTATATTTTAGTTTTGTCTGCAAAACAAAAATTTTTTTCTCACCAGTCTTAATTGTTTTTTCAGATTATTTAGCCCCAAGAAACTTACTAGTGGACGCAGGGAATTTTGTTTTAGACAAAATGACGCCTGGTAAGTGAAAACTGGAAAATATTTAACTTAGCATTTGGTGACGTAAGCTTAAAACTAACAATTTGCACATTATGAGAAACCCAATAACCCAAAGGTAAAACTATAGGATTTATTTAAATATTGAATATGAGTAAGAACGGTATGAAATATTGTTAAATTTATCAGTGTGGAAAAACTTCTTTAACATTCCTATTTTTATTATAATCGTTGTTTTAACTGCATAATTATATTTGGAATTGAATTATCAGATCATATTCCATAAATATGACTCCTTAAATCATGTGAAAATAATAGAACAAGGTGGTTAAATTTAAGCCAACCATAATACATTCAAGTATTTCACCAAAACGTGGAAAAAGACATATTATGTCACTATCGGTTAGTGAAAATTACAGTACTTACATTGCACCACCTACGAAGAGGTTTTGATGTTGATCTTATACTTCTTATATATTGTTTTAAAGGCAATAAAAGTTTTTCAGTTGTCATTTGTCATTTCTTGGTCATCTATACACGGAAGGTTTTGAAACCACTTATTAAATTGGTTTTGAGCATATGTTGTCAAAGTTTTAGCTTCCCAACAGTTGTACAAACAAAATGATGGCATACTGCATTTTTTTATTGAATTTATTCCCATAAAACCTATGTTTAATGTTTACCTAATTTGTTATGCGTTGCAGTATTGACAATGTTTTAAAGACATTTATAAATAAGCCAAAAAAAGCATAACGTAAAATACTTAGGTGCAATTCTACTGAAACTAAAATTCTATGAATTACCTTTTTTTAAGTCTTGTCCATTATACATTGCTTCTGGTAACATTAATCAATTCTTAAATCGGGCAAAAGTGTGATGTATTACATTGTCAAGCTTACATTGATCTCAATAATAAAGGTTTACATTTTATTTTGATGCTAATGTCCTGAATCCTATAGATGCATTGGAAACGGCAATACTACATTTGTTACTGTCTGTGTATATTTTATATTAATTGTTAAAAAAATCATGATGATGAGGTTTTTTGTGAAGGGAGGTATCCAATACAGCTATTAGTTTCCTACTGAGGACAATACATACTTTCGACCCAATAATATAGTCTCATTTTTAAAACGTAAAAGCTCTAGAGTAAAAAGGCTCAAAGAAAAAAAGGCTCTAAGGACTATACATTACGTGCTTCCAAACGAGTATTTTATGGTTTAAGGATGGTTGGCATGCATCCCTAAAATTATTTTCAAACAATTTTCATTAACATATGTATGTTTCCTCTAGTGTCTTAAATTGTACTTTATCAGCAAGTGCTTAGGTTATGTATAAACAATATAAAAACATAGTCCGTAAGAAAACAGAATATTCGGAAATATTGCATTACTTTAACACTTTATTTTTTTTTAAATCGACATGCAGATTATTTAAAATTAATTAAAAATGGTCTAATTCCAGTTACATAAACATTAGATTGATATCTTGAAAATGCATTAAAAATATGTTACAAGTTGATAAAGCTGTCTTCATGTAAAAAAGTGTATTGTCCACAATAAAATTTATTTTCCAGGAAATCATTTGGTGAATGCATTTCACCATTAAAGAATATGAATTTTATTATTTAAATTATAAATTCTCGTCAATAAAAAAGTAGTTGTTAGATAGTATAATTATTACTCTGACTGCAAAGTCAATCTCGACCTGGAAAAGCACAATGGCCTATCTACTGAGACAATAGATGGTTGTTTAATTAACTGTGTTAATTTATTCATAGACTTTTCTTTCTTGTCTTCTCCACTTGACATTTACCGTTATAAAACATTCATTAATTATTCATCGTCGTAGCTTCTGCAAAGAATGGAAGCAATTTAGTTTCTCCTTAAATATTCCTAAAATACAATATATATTTTTGAATCATATTGTTTATATTATCATCTGAAACTATTTTGTTTGGTATTTTTACCATGCCTTCAATAGTGGTATTATTGTGTGTATGTTTTGTTTGTTACTCATACAATTGCGAGCAATATTGGATCTACTACATATAGTATACTTAAAATATATAATACATATTATTATTGTGTCAGCTAATGAGTAGTTTTGCTTTCTTTTCGAATCTCTTGCGATCCCTATGTTCATAACTTTTAAATAGTATGATACTGCAAAAGGTTTTGTAAACGATGATGACATACAGTGTAAGTGTGATCCTAACTAAGATTTTCCATGCAAATTCTTGAGCATATAAATTCAGCTTGGTTATGTATAAATTTGTCATTACTACCTTATATTAATTTTAATGAATGGGATCATTCGTACAAGAGAAAGTGTAATATTATTTTCGTGGGAAATCGCGTAGGCCCCTTCAGTAGCCGTAATTGTACTAAACGGAAGACTAAATATTTAATCTTTAAATATTTGTCATTAATAAAACTAAACTTCAATTTGTATTTTATATTTTAACTGAAACTATATCAAATAATAATTTTATATGGGCTATTAAATCCAGCATGACACCCGAGGTCAAATTCATAATTTATTGCTGGTTCTGTTACATGGGTCAGAAATTTTTTTCCATATAGTACTACTTGAATGTTATTATTTATTACATTCCGGTTAACGCTATATATTGGGGGCTATAGTTTGAAGAGCAGGTGGTTTTCCGTAAATTTATGTTAGAATTACATTTTACCAGAGGCATAGTAAAAATAAAATATATTTAACACTGAATGTATTATACTTTTTTAGACATACGTATGTAAAAATATTCTAAAGGTTTTAGTAACAAGTTACTCTATTAATTGTGTCTGTAATTTGCTGTATGTATACATAGAGAGTGTTGAATAACCAAGCTTATCCATTATTCACCCTAGGTTTGATGGCCACAAAACGATATTATACTGTTACATATTATGTGTGTTACTTAACCAAGCTATATAATTCACTCTCTGTGGCTCGACCACCATTATATGCTTGGGGACTATTAAGCCACTGCTTGGTATTAAATATTCCTACTAACTGTCCGATTTGTAATATTTAACGAAATTGTGTGTAAAAATCTATTCCCATAGTCATGGTCAAGTAATGCTGAAGTGTTTATATCTTGTGGAATCACAAATGATATTTGATTAAATCGTAAGGGTATTTGGGGTTTTCAATACGCAAAAACTTATAGCGTTCTTTTTTTTGTTCTCATTTACAATCAAAGAAACGTAATTTAAGGGATTATTATTTTTACAAAAATACGAGTGAAAATATAAGTAGCTTTTACTCAAACATTTTAATTATAACAAAATTGATATCATCTCGAATAAAATTCAAGCACTTAAACTCTTTAGTATTCTGCTTTATATTGGTAAAAGACTGCAGTCTATATTCGTATTTTTCTCATATATTACGAAAAAACTGGCAGACTTTGTAGCTGTATTTCTTAATAACTCACTGTTCCAATTTAATTACTTAAATCTCCTTATAGGCTACATTTTACGTGACAGTTTATTTTATTACATCAACAAAACGTGGATGGGAATAACTTCCTGACAGGCCTCATAATTTGGAAACTGGAAGAAAGCTCTTGGTTATCACATATTGTTAACGGAATTTGGAATGTTTATTAACTCCTATGAATCTGCGGTTTATTTTAACAACTATAAAACTGACAAATAAAACATCAAATTTGAACGAAAACCATACTATGACTTGATTTATTAGAAACTTGTGTTCCATTTTATGTATGAAAAATAACAAATTTAAGATTCAAAGTACTTCAGCATATTTTAAAAACCAAGCACAGAACATGAGGTTTTATCTATTTATCAGCTAAATATTTTAAGACACCTTATTTCCTATTATAATTTTATATTCCAATAATTTGTATTTTGTTATCCAGTATATGATTTATTACTCTAGTTTAACAATTCCTTTTCTTCATATTATTGTGGTCTAAGTCTGTAGTTAGATAAAGAAACATCATATTTTGTTATTTAAATGAATTGGACTTAAAATTTAATCTTTATTAACAAGTAATTAATAAACCTTCAACCTTTGTAAAACTGTGTAATATGTTGTGATGAAGTATAAATAAGTATATACAAAGTAGACAATAGACAATATGTGACACAAGGCTCCACAGCACGTAGAGGCGATGACTATCACATACATTTGTTATGTTGCAATCTGGGCCTGGTAAATAGACACAATCTTTCCTGCTAGTTTCAACCTTATTGGTCGTATTTCGAATATGGTAAATATTTTGATGTAAGCTACACGTGCTTGATTGTATTGTATTTATCAATTTTTGTTTGCGAAGGAAATTGTAGTCGTTTTTTTTAACTGTACAAACAAGAATGCATGTTTGAACGGCTCAAAAAACTGATTTAAAATCTTCCTTGGCCTTCCTTAGAAAAATACGTATCCTTTCTAATATAAACGCTATGTTTAAGTACTTGTTCCTACATAAAAGCCGATTTTCCTATCTTAATAATTGAGTTGATAAAATATACATATACAAAGGTCAATAGAAATTAAAATTGTCGTAAAATAAGACTGTTGTTTTCATTTCTATATTCATTAAATTTTTGCATCCAGAATTATAAATTTAATTATAATAATTTGCACACCTTTTTATCCAGAGTTATATTCAGTTATTCATAGATTGCCTAAGCAATTTGAACAAAACTTGGATAACTAAAATTTACATAGTTACATTGAAATAAGTAGTAACGTTGTAAATAGTTTTGCGAACATTCTTTAAAACGATATGTTGGATGGTATCCTAATTTTTTGTTGTTTTTCCTCCTGATCACAATTTAAATTATTACTGGAGGTTAAAATGCCTTAATCTGTCATGTGATCAATGTCATCATTGGGTGGCGATGGGTTTTAACCCTACAAATGGGCCATCTTCATCTTCAGGCATGGACTAGAAGGAACATGGAATCACTTCGACTAGAGTCTGGACTTATAATTTAGAGGACGCGTACCGTCCAACGCGCAATCGATTTTTGGCCAGAAGTGTCGTA